CTTATTGCTTTGTTTGTCGGTTCTATGTGTGATCGGGTTGGTTGGCTCGGGTTCGGAAAGATTTTGGTAAGGTTTGAGACACTTAGTCTCTTTTGAGGAAGCTTAAGTTGGAAAAGTCAATCGAATGTTGACTTATGTGTTAAAGGGATCGGATGTGAGTTTCGATGGTTCGGATAGTTTCAGGAGGTGATTTGGGACTTAAGAGCGTGATCGGAATGTGTTTTGGAGGTCCGGAGTAGATTTAGGCTTGAATTGGCGAAATTAGAATTTTGGCGTTTTCCGGTTGATAAATGAGATTTTGATATATGGGTCGGAATGGAATTCCGGAAGTTGCAGTAGGTCTGTTGTGTCATTTGGGATGTGTGTGCAAAATTTCAGGTCATTCGGGCATGGTTTGGTAGACTTTTTGATCAAAAGCGTAATTTATAAGATTTTGAAATTCTTAGGCTTGAATCCGATGCGAATTTGGTGTTTTGATGTTGTTTTGAGCACTCCGAAGATTGGAACAAGTTTGAAGGATGTTATGGGTTATGTTGGCATGTGTGGTTGAGGTCCCGGGGGCAGTTTCGGGTGGTCAATCGAACCATTTCATGTTTTGGAAAGTTGCAGAAATCTACTGTTGGGTGTTGCAGACAATTGGCCTTCGCGTTTGCGAGTGGAGCCTCGCATTCGCGAAGAGTTAGCAGGTGAGGCTAAAGGTTTGGCCTTCGCGTTCGCGAGGGAGGTCCCGCATTCGCGAATGGCTGGGCCATTGAGCATCGCGTTCGCGAGAAGGGGAGTCGTGTTCGCAAAGGTTGGAGTCAGGAGGCATCGCGTTCACGAGAGGTAAGACGCGTTCGCGAAGGAGGAAAATTTTGGTCAACTTAAGTTTGTGCTTCGCGAACGCAAGGCTTTGACCGCGTTCGCAAAGAAGGTTTTGAATGCGTGTGCAGAATGTTTAAATAGTCATTTGTCCACGATTTTGGGGCTAACTTCTACCATTTTTGAGTGATTTTGGAGCTTCTTGAAGAGGATTGAAGAGGAATTCAAGGGGGAACACTTGGAGGTAAGATTTATGGACTTAATACTCGATCCTAATGTGAATTCTACCTAATTAATCATGGAATTCAAGCCTAATACTGAAGAACTAGGGCTTGTAATTTGAGACCTAGAATTTGGGATTTGAGGGGTCGTTTGTGGTTGGATTTTGATGCTTTTGATATGAATGAACTCGGAGAGTGATAAGGAGTCTATTGATGTAATTTTTATCGGAATCTGAGACGTGGGCCCGAGGGTCGGGTTTGGCCAATTTCGAAATTTGTGTTGTAATATTATTTCTTTCGAGTGGGCTTTGTTCCCTTAGCATATTTTGATGGTTTTGCACTGATTTTGGTTAGATTTAGAGAATCCGGAGGTCGATTCGAGAGGCAAAGGCATCGCGAGCTAGAGATTTGGACCGAATAGAGGTGAGTAATGATTGTAAATGTTGTCCTGAGGGTATGAAACCCCGGATTATACATTGTTATGCTATATTGAGGTGACACACACACTAGATGGCAAGCATGGGGTCGTGCACCATTGGAGATTGTGACTTAGTCCATCCCGAAAGATTGTTTTACTGCGTATTTGACTGAATATTGTTTGCTATCATCATGTTTTGGGCTGAAATGCCATATTTGGGCCTCATGCCAACTATTTGGACCCTTAGGGGATTTTTACTGATATTTCCTCACTGTTTTGACTTTATACTTGTACTCAGCCATGCTATATTCTACTATTTTCATAACTCAGCCATGTTTACTCTATTTTAACACATTAAATGATATTTTAAATGATATTTTGGGCTGAGGATCATGTTTTACTGTTGCCCGAGTGGCTTATGAGATTTTGACTGAGTAAGGACGAGGGCCTGTATTAAGAGGATACACTGATTTATTATTATGAGGCCGAGGGCCTAAGATTGTACGCCACGAGGTGGCTTGTTGATATGATGCCGAGAGCCTATTGATTATGCCACGAGATGGCTTGATATTGCACTTGGGCCGTAAGAGGCCCTTCCCGGAGTCTGTACACCCCCAGTGAGCGCGGGTACACATTGTGATATGAGATATAGCCCGAGGGACTGGAGTTGTTCCATGATATTGCCCGAGGGGCGGATTCTGTTGACATTGTGCCCGAGGGGCGGATTTTTATGTGTTTATCTGTTCCACCGGCTTTCCATTTAATTGTTTAACTATCAAAAAGGTGGTTTAAAGAAGCTTCTTCTGAACTAAGTATTTTTACATGTTTTTACCGGTTGATTGCTTTTACTAGTTTTATACGGCTTTGATAGTAGGCTATATAGTTGATATTTAAACCTTAATAGGACCATACTTTGTTGTTGTTTTATAGATAATTTGCCACCAAAATGCTCTCAATAGTGTTCTTTTGTTTAGCAGGGAATATTATAGGAGAGGAAGCAACATGGAGTGTTTTGGAGGCGATAATGTGAAGAAAAACACCCACTCAAGAAGTACTCAAACACAAAGAAGCATAAATGTCCTGGGCAAGAAGGCCACTGCGACCGCGGTGAACAACGGCATATTAATAAAGTGAAGCAGAAAGGTTGGCGTTCACCGCGGTCGACCGCGGTTGGCCGCGACTGCGGTGCACTGTTCACGCAGCTGGAAGTTTGAGGACCAAAGTGTAATTTCGAGGAAACTTTTGTAAAACCCTTATAAGCTTTAGAAACTCGCTCAACTGGGGGAACAAGCTAATTTTAGACTATTTTTGGAGGAAGAACAAGTGTGAGAAGATCAACCAAACATTAGAGTTTTTCTATCTCCTTTTAATTCTTGCAATTTTACATTATGAACAATTTAGTAGTTATTTCTTAATTTGTTATGAGTAGCTAAACACTTATCTAGGGTTGATGGAACCAATTTTTGGTTGAAGTTTTGACTCAAGTTGTTATAATCGAACCGGATTTATGATATAATTGTTCAACTACGTTTTGTATAGTGATTAATTGAATGGGCCCTTGATTAATCGTGTCTAATTACCTTATATTGCTTGAAAAAGAATATTAGGTTAGACAACTGTTGAACAACACCACTTTTGGGTAATTGAAGAGATTCATTACTTGAACTTAAAAGTGGGTTTAGAGATAACAAAACTTTGGTGGGATAATTTAGAATTGCATACCCATTGTCAGCTAGAGTAGTTCGAGAGACTGCTCTAATAGATTATTGTAGTTGATCGAGAGATAATTACGATAACCCATAACTCTTAATCCTCATAGAGTATTACGACGAGATTATAGCGGAAGAGTCAAGACCTAAACTAGCAATATGTGAAATCACTGCCCTAGACCTCTTTACCATTTAATTCTTTTTGTTTTAGCTTACTGTTGTTTTTAATAGTAGTTGAAGTAGTTAAACCAAAAAAAACAATCTTTATTGATCAAAAATCTTGCATCTAGAGATTGATTGAGTTGATAATAACATTACCGAAGAGTGTAATAGATAGGTTAGTTCCCTGAGGATTCGATTCCGGACTTAAAACCGGATTATATTTGCAGCGACCGCTTTGTCCTTTGAAAGGCATAGTTGGGCGTTATCAAATTTTTGCGCCGTTGCCGGGGAACTAACGGTGTTATTTATTACAACTTAGAAGTAGTGTTAACAATTATTAGTTCAAATCAATTTTCAAAGGTGTTAAACAATTTTCATTGAAATTCTAACGTTTGAACTCTTGTGGAATTCAGGTGTATGCCTAGAAATTCTTCGAGGACTGGAGATCTGTTTGAAGGACTTTCAGACCCCGAGAAAATATTCAGGGCTTTGAATCGTGCCAACATGAGGATCCAACAATCACAACAACCACACCAGCTTGAATTTGACATGGGTGACGTAGAGAACGTCAACAGAAACATCAGAGATGAGCCAGCTGACCCAAACGTTAGAGTGGTGGCACCTCAACCCACAGCTGACAACCTGGCAACTACCATAGTTGTGCCCGCAATTCAAGCGGAGACATTCCAGATCACCAACAACATGCTACATCTGCTACAGAATAAAGGATTGTTTTTCGGGTCACATATTGAAGACCCTCAGCAACATTTGAAAAATTTTCTGTCAATTTGTGTGACTCAAAGGCAGCCAAATGTGACCCCAGAAGCTATCGAGCTATTACTGTTCCCGTTCTCTATGACTGGGGAAGCTCAGACTTGGCTGAATTCGCTCCCAATCAATTCCATTGTCACCTGGGAGGAATTAGTAAAGCAATTTTTGAATAAGTTCTACCCGCCCAACAAGACTACAAGGCAGATTGATGAAATATTGTAGTACAAGCAGCAGCCGACTGAAACCTTGCAAGAAACTTGGGAAAGATTTAAAGGGATGCTGGTGAAGTGTCCTCACCATGGCATTCCAGACCAGATGCTTGGCCAGAGATTCTACATGGGATTATCTGACAATCTAAAGGCCAATGTGGATGCTTCAGCTGGAGGTGCATTTTTGAGTAAGACATTCACCGAGTGCAAAGTCCTTCTTGACAAGATGTCCCAGAATTCGGGGTGGATGACTAGAGGTACAACACTGGCACCTATAGTGCATTCAGTGCCTCTCGACCCAAATAATTCGCAGGCAGAGAACATGGCCACACTCATGACTTAGATGAGTATTTTGACAAAGAAGATAGATGAGATGGGTACCAAACAGGTGCATATTTTTGACACGACAAATGGAGGACTGTGTACACCCTGTGTTAATCAGTCTTATGTGTGTTCATGGAGCAGAGAAGGTAAAAATCAAGGAGAAAGGGAAGATATAAATTATGTTAACAACTTTGGGGGTCAGAGACAAGGAGGACAATAGTGGAGTCCAGCACCAAATCAGCAATACAGACCCAACATGCCTCAGCCTGGGGGCATGCAAGCTCAAGGTCAAATGGTGCCATACCACTAGAGACAACAGGGCTACCCACAGCAGAACCAGAAACAGTTGACATATCAGCTACCTCATCAGTAGCAAGATAACAACATGGTAGAGATTAAGGGGATGCTCCAGCAACTCGTTGGGACAAATGGTAAGATGCAAGAGAAGTTGGTAGTACATGACTCAGCTATAAAGAACATTGAAAATCAGTTGGGGCAGTTGTCTATGGCTTTAAACAATCGCCCCCAGAGAACATTGCCAGCGGATACAAATATTAACCCTAAGGAGCAAAACCCGAATCAATTGATAGCAGTAAGTCTTCTGAATGGGAGAGATTTAGACAAAGAGCAGGAGGTTGCACAAGCCAGCAAAGAGACTACGCCAGCCACTCCAATTCCACTAGAGGTAGATGAACCAACAAATCTGACTGAAGTGGTAGTTGAATAGGGTCAAGATGAAAAGGGTAAGGCTAAGGTAAATGAACAAGCTGCAGAACAGGTGGTGCCTCTTGTGCCACAGAACCCCAACAGAGAGAAGCCAGCAAGCAGTGAACAAAGGGTGATACCTACACCATTCCCTCAGAGACTGGTAAAACAAAAGAAGGAAGATCAATACAAGAAATTCATGGAGATGCTGCATCAAATTCAGCTGAATATTCCTTTGATGGATGCCTTGAGGGAGATTCCAGGTTATGCGAAGATGATGAAAGACCTAATGTCACGGAAGTTTGATTTTCAGGACTTATCCACAGTGACTCTAACGCAGACCTGCAGCGCAGTAGTGACCAGACCGATGACTCAAAAGATGTCCGACCCAGGTAGCTTCACTATTCCATGCACGATTGGGAGTTACGCCTTTGCAAAGGCATTATATGATTTGGGAGCCAGCATAAATTTGATGCCTCTGGCTGTATACACCAAACTGGGCATTGGCAAAGCTAGACCGACTTCGATGCTGCTGCAACTGGCTGACCGCACGGTAAAAAGGCCTACTGGGATTCTTGATGATGTGTTGGTGTAAGTGGGGAAGTTCGTGTTCCCTGCAGACTTTGTTATTCTGGATTGTCAGGTAGATGAAGAGATACCTATCATTTTAGGTAGGCCATTTTTGGCCACTGGGAGAGCCCTGATCGATTGTGAGACTGGGGAATTAAAAATGAGACTGAACGATGAAGAAGTCATATTTAATGTTCAGCAATCTATGAGGAAACCCAGTAAATATGCTAATTGCTCTCTAGTGGAGGCAGTGGATGTGATCATGCAAGAAGATGATGAGACCCTGACTGCTAAAGATCCATTGGAGGCATGTCTGACAAATTTAGAAGAAATAGATGGGGAAGGGTTGGCTGAGTGGGTCATGGCACTTGAAGGCCAAGGATTCTGGAAAAGGGAACCTCAGTTCGAGTCCCTTGAGTTAGAAAAAAGGGCTACACCTCCAGCAAAGCCATCGGTAGAGGAACCACCCAAGTTGGAGCTGAAGCCGCTTCCAGCTCACCTCAGGTACATTTTCTTAGGCCCCCATTCTACTTTGCATGTTATTATATCATCCGGTTTGTTAGATGTGTAGGTAGAACAGCTCTTACAGGTACAGCAGGAAAGCAAGACTGTCATTGGCTGGACCATGGCAGACATAAAGGGTATCAGCCCAGCCTTCTATATGCATAAGATTCTCTTGGAAGAAGGGCACAAACCTTCTAGAGAACATCAACGAAGGCTGAACCCGAACATGAAAGAGGTAGTAAAGAAAGAAGTGATCAAATGGTTAGATGCGGGAATCATCTTCCCCATCTCTAATAGCAATTGGGTTAGTCCTGTCCAATGTGTGCCGAAAAAGGGGGGAATGATTGTTGTGCAAAATGAAAACAATGAGTTGATCTCAACTCGTACAGTCACGGGATGGCGGATTTGCATGGATTACCGAAAATTGAACACAGCCACCCGGAAGGATCACTTCCCCTTGCCTTTCATTGACCAAATGTTGGACAGGCTGGCCGGGCGCTCACACTTCTGTTTCTTGGATGGATATTCGGGGTACAATCATATATCAATAGCCCCCGAAGATAAAGAGAAAACATCCTTCACTTGTCCATATGGCATCTTCGCCTTTCGGAGAATGCCTTTTGGGCTTTGCAATGCACCGACAACATTTCAACGGTGCATGTTAGCCATTTTCACAGACATGGTGGAGGATATTATGGAGGTCTTTATGGATGATTTCTCCGTGGTGGGAGATTCATTCGAGGATTGTCTTCACAACTTAAGAAGAGTGTTCAAAAGATGTGTGGAGACAAATTTAGTATTGAACTGGGAGAAGTGCCATTTTATGGTACAGGAAGGGATAGTCATGGGACATCGAGTGTCCAGTAAAGGAATTGAGGTCGACCATGCTTAGGTTGACGTGATTTAAAACTACCACTGCCCATTTCAGTTAAGGCGGTGAGAAGTTTCCTTGGCCACGCCAGGTTCTACAGGCGATTCTTAAAAGATTTCTCCAAAATTGCTAACCCATTATGCAAACTCCTTGAAAAGTATCACCCTTTTGTGTTTTCTAATGATTGCAGGTTGGCATTTGAGGAGCTGAAGAAGATATTGGTGACCACACCCATCATTGTTGCACCCAACTGGGAGCAACCATTTGAGCTCATGTGTGACGCAAGTGACTACGCCATATGAGCAATCTTGGGGCAGCGATAGGGTAAACTGATGCAGCTGATTTATTATGCAAGCAGAACGCTGAGCGGTGCACAACTCAATTACACTGTGACGGAAAAGGAGATGTTGGTTGTTGTTTTTGCATTCGACAAATTCAGGTCATACTTGATTGGCTCGAAAGTTATTGTTTACACTGACCATGCAGCAATTAGGTACTTGATAGAAAAGAAGAAGTCAAAGCCACTCTTGATTCGCTGGGTTCTTCTGTTACAAGAATTCGATCTGGAAATATGTGATCGAAAAGGGACAGAGAAACAAGTAGCTGACCACCTTTCAAGGTTGGAAGGAGCTGAAAAGAAGGTAGAGGTTGAGGATATAACAGAGACATTCCCGGATGAACAGTTACTGGCAATGACAATGGAGGAGGCACCATGGTATGCTGATATTGCTAATTATTTAGCAAGTGGTATTGTACCTTATGAACTCTCCTCAATACAAAAGAAAAAGTTCTTTCGTGATTGTCAGTATTATTATTGGGATGAACCTCTATTGTTTAAAATATGTGTAGATAACATGATCCGGCGGTGTATCCCCGAGAAAGATCAACATTCTATTTTGCAGGCTTGCCATGCTTCACCATATGGTGGACACTTTGGAGGAATTCAGACAGCAGCTAAGGTGTGGGAGTCAGGCTTGTACTGGACTACTTTGTTCAAGGATGCCCATGCTTGGGTTAAAAGCTGTGATGAATGCCAAAGAACTAGCAACATATCTCGTAGACACGAGATGCCAGTGACCACATTTCAAGAGGTGGAGATTTTTGACATGTGGGGGATTGACTTCATGGGGCCATTCGTCAGCTCGTATGGTAACAAGTACATATTGGTAGCAGTTGACTATGTCTCCAAGTGGGTCGAAGCAGTAGCTCTCCCGACCAATGATGCCAAGGGGGTACTAGGCTTTCTAAATAAGAACATTTTCACGCGTTTTGGTACCCCAAGAGCTATATTCAGTGATGGTGGAACCCATTTCTGCAATAGAGCATTCGCACGGCTGTTGGAAAAATATGGAGTTCGTCATAAA